CGCCACTACTTCCGCACCAAAATCATAGAAAGAAGGAGAAATGTGATCGATGCTTGCCCTTCCACTACTCACAAATGATATATCAGTATCAGACGAGAGCTCGTACGATTTGTCCATTGAAGCTCTTCCTCTTGTGAATGGTGACCTGGATATCATTTTTATTGGGTTAGCCCCACTTATGATTTACTCACACATCCTCTTTTTTAGTATTATATAGAGTTGTTCACACAAACATATAGGCTTAGAAAACTTTTAAGATCTAGAGTTTGCCAAGGAGGGCGGGGAGTATCTAATTATCTTTTTAGAAGAGTTAACGCATCGACCCAATCACGGATAAATTCTCAACTATTTTTTCTAGTCACAATGTTTGTGCTTTATTAAAGGACAAACTGTTGATATGACACTGATAAGTTGTCCATATGATTATCGATCGGGTCATACTAAGGAGACCAACTTTAAATACCAACTTATGTACCATCTCTCTAATAGAGGTGGAGCCCACCAATACAATGGGTCTCATGCTCTATTAGAGAGATGGTACACAAGTTGGTATCTAAAGTTGGTCTTCTTAGCATTTTCCTTATCGATAACATATTGTTTCTCAAATATCTAAACCTGTTTCTCTCAATCTCTCCTAAATAATCAAAATAGTATAATTAGAGCATACTTGATTTGAGTGTCATCATCTGGCGGGCTACGAGCTGAATAGTACTGTGTCCTCTCCGATGCTGTATGAATCAAAGAAATTAAAATTGAATTAGTAATAATTAGTGAAAACAAAACCATATTATAATAATCATGAGGTGGGAAATAATTACACATGCTAGAATTACAGAAGACTTGTGTGTATATATATATACCTGATGATTTGGTTTCAGAAACAGGGGTGGGTTGGTGTTGTATCTGATTACGTGGGGCAGATTTTTGGGGTGTTGTAGTAGTAGCACATCGCATGTACGAGACCTTTCCCTTGCCAATCACGTAAACAGAGCAAAAATCTGGTGCCCCCTTTGACACTGTGCTTGGAACGTCTGTGAGTTTGAATCTTTTGGTGCAAAAAATAAATTAAAAAAAAAAAAAAAAAAGAAGAAGGAAAATTTGGGTAATTAGGATCGAATTTAGGAGCTAATTAAGATGATTATGATGAATTAATTAATTAATTAATCACCTGAAAAGGCCACTTTTTGTTGGTGTACCAAGAACCAAAATCTCAACCGAGCTAGTGACAACGTAATTGATGATTGCTTTTGGAATATCAGTATCCTCGAGTACGACTTCATGGCATTTTATCTGTTAAAGATGTCAGTCACAAGCAAAAACAAGTGTTAGACGGCTCCCCTAGGCAAAAACAAGTGTTATATTGTTTATATTTTTTGTTACTTATGATGGATCCAGATCCTTTTGGTTTCTTTTTTTGCTATGATTTGCTTGACTTGCAATTAAATTACTTGGTTTGTGCGGTCGTATGAATTAAAATTTGTTTCAGTTTTCCATATAACAAAAACAAAACATCAACAGTTTGCAACGACATAAATAATATTTTGCATTTATCAAGGCTATGTTTAAGACGTATCACATTTTGAAGAATGTGCATACCAAACATGAAAATTGAATTTCATCATACTGATTATATCAACCCGCATCTCAAATTCCAATTGATTTGAAAAATAAAACAGTCAATGTGATACTTAAACGTTGATCAACAAACATTTTTCAGAGTTTCCATTTATCTTTCTTGATCTTAATCTTAAAATAAATAAATAAATAAACTTTTGTGGCATTTCCCTTCCAAATATTTAGCATACGTAGTTTCAATTCCTCCTTGCCATTCTTGGTTAATAAACATGTCTCGACGAAGAAATTATGTAATTGTAAAGTATAAAATTATACATAAAAGAAAATAATTAGGAAGTATATTAGAACTCACATTCTTTTTGGAGCAAAAGGAACGGTACGAAAGAAACAGGCTTTGGGCTTGAGCACCACCACCTTGGCTGTCGGCTCCTTCAGAAGAGGATGTGTGCTTAACATGCAGCAACGTGAGAGGTTGGCCTCTTGTGAGAAGATGATCAACAGCCCATTTGATGGCATTTTCACTTCCTTTGTCCTTGTCTATGGCCACTGCCACGGACTCTTCTCTCTTCTCTCCATGCCCTCGGTTAATCCTTGCCATTAATTCTTAATTAACTCTCTTAATCTCCTATAAAATATAATTAATTCAAAACTCTCCAAGTGGGCAGATTACAGATCCTGCTTACAAGAAGATGATCATATGTTATATAATCTCCAAGTTTTTTTTTCTCTCCAATGCCTCTCTCTCTCTCTCTCTCTCTCTCTCTCTCTCTGTGATTATTCTAGAGGCCTGTCTGGGAAACCCTTCTTTGTCCTGTCCAGAGAGGGTTGGTTTGTTTTGTTGAACAGAAGAGAAGAGAAGAAAAAAACACTTACCAAATTTCCCTAACCATGTTATCTTTTGTCTCTATTTTGAGTTAGTTCTTTTTTACTTTTAATAACAAACTCTCTCTTATGTTTTTCAAATACGCATCATCGTCTGTCGCATGATGTGATCAACTAATGTGACCCGAAAATGTTATGATTTTTTTAGCATGATCCTGAGGACCTGCACATTGTTGCGTGGTTGTAACTATTGTTTTGTATCTTGCCAAATTAGGTGACTTCCGATCCGCCAGAACAACAAAGGTGTAAGTTGATAAATTCAGCAATTCCCGCTTTCTTCTGGAAAAAAAAAAAAAAAAAAAAAGCAATGCCCGCTTTCTTTGATGTGTTTGCATTGCGTGGTTATGGAGTTCTTGACAGCAAAGCTAAACAAATTTTTGCTCCCCCAAATTTTTTAATTTAAATATATATATATACGTGTTATTATTTGTATAAATTAATTTCTATAACACATCACTAATGTATATAGTCTACCACCTAAGTAAAGAAAAATTATAAAATATCAACTTCTTTTCCTAGAAAAATGAAAATTTCTTTTTCTTTTGAAAAAGAAAAAAAAAAAAAAACTAAACAAGAGTGAACAACAATCCAACCAAACTCACCAAATCGGCCGATCTGAACTGTAATGGCTGGTTTGCCTTGGTTTCAACCAAGAATTTTTTTTTTTAAGGGTTTAAAACAGAAGCATACTATAATGGTTTGGTTTGGTCGCGATTTTTAGATTTTGCAAACCAACCTAAACCAAATCAAAACGTCCGCTTGTATATGTTTTTATGTTATTTTATTTTATACGTCTAATGCTTTCATTGGCTAATAATTAATAATTAAATAAGGATGTTTCTTTTGAAGTTTAATTGAACTTTGAAGTTATTGGTCTTTTGAATTGTAACTATATTAGTTATTGAACTTTAAAGTTTGATGACATGTTAATTATAAAATAGTTTGATGTGCTAGAAAATGAAAAATATATATGTAGCACGTTATGAAATTTTTCATTTTATTTTTTTGTAATTGGGCTAACCCCTACAACTTATGGTAACTACATCTAACCCCAATGCTATGATCCTTTTAAATGCATGTAATCAATCACCCTTCTAAAAGATACTGCTTGCTTCCTAAAGAATCACAATTTGACATGTATGTAAAGATAATTTATTAAAAACACAAAATAAGGAAAAATTTATGTACACATGTGACACTGCTCTTCACAAGAATATAAAAGCTCATACTTACATAGTAAGGAATGAAGTATCTTTCTCCCCTAAAAGCCTGTAACATGCAACTTATGAGTACCATCCGTCCACTACCCAAGAAAAACTCCATGATCACTTTGTCATTAATGTAATGCACTTGTCAAAGTGATGAGAAAGATACGAAAATTAAAGACCTGCATTTGCACCAACCTTATCTCCTCGACACAGAGACTAGATGACGGGTTCATCTACAATGCTCCGGTGTATCAATACATCAAACTGTTAAGGGTATATATGTCTTTTCAAAATTCACTAATGAAACATGTAGTCATGGGGTGTGGAAGGCATCACCTTTTGGGGATAAATTTGGGCAGTGCACGTATAGTCATGCAATTGCACATCTGGTGCTATGTGTGCGAGGGAGAGAGAGAAAGAGAGGCAGAAAGAGTGGGTCGGGGCTGGGGGTCGATGGGAGGGGATCTGTGGTCGGGAGTGCTGCGGGAGAGTTGGGTCAAAATTGGATGGGGAAGAGAGAGAGAGAGAGAGAGAGAGAGAGCAGAGGGGGGAGTGGGATGCGAAAGGAACGGGAAGGAAAGGAGGGAGAGGCGAATGGGGAGGGAGAGGGAGAGTTGCAGGCTTTTTTATATTTTATTTATTTATTATTTGTTACTTTTAAAATTTCAAAATTCTAAGGTGTAAATTTTAAACTTTTTTTTAAAAAAAAAAGTTTTAAATCTACGTTGTCAACCTTTTTTTTTCAGACTAATGTTTGGGCTTAATGATATTTTTCTCCATGTTTTATCTTGTTCTATTCTTTAATTATTATTTTTTTTATAAGGATTCTTTTCTTCTTTTTAATATTTCTTAGTCTATTAAAGATTTTTTTTTTTTTTTGTCAAGCTAATACAATATGCATAAGATTTCACTTTATGGTTTTAAACTTAGTTATTTTCAAGAAGAAAAAAAATGAAAAGATGATTATTTTATGAATTTTTGTTTATTACAAAAAATATATTAATGATGATGAAGTAAATCACAAAAGAATTAGTAGAAACAAATCAAAGTTAATTCACTTTATTTTGAGTATTTAAAAAAGTAATTTTTAAATACTGATCTAGTAAATTTGATTTCATGTTAGCCCTGAGATTTTAAGGGTCATGTGCGAAACTTAAACTGTGACCTTCAGATAATCTTATATGTATATACTAAAAAAAAAAATTTGTCTACCATTATTTAATGCCTTACAACAATTTTTAAAACTAAAATCATCATCAATCATCATGCAAATTACAAATCAAAATTATAAATGTTAACTTTCAATTTGAGAAAGTTAAATACCAATATGTTCAGTATAAAAACTAAATTATTTTCTAGTACTTGTTAACTATATGAAGACTTGTACATAGTATAGTGTAATTATCATACATATAAAGTATATGAATCAATCATCATCCTGTAACCAAATATATATATATATATATATATATAACCTATCAAATATATAGAGAGCTTCCGTTGAGGGATTCCTTAAAAAAGCTTATTTGAGGGACAATCTTGAAGGACCCATTTTGTATTTTATTTCACTAATCCAAACCATATATTTTGTACATCTTCATTCAAAGATCATCTCTACAAAAAATAACTTGAATTTGACATCATTTAACCACTCAATTAAATTATTGGAAATTTAGTACTTTCTTGCAGCACCGTGTTTATTAATTTTGTAGGACACAATTAGATGTCTAAACGATTTTCGATTTGTTTAATTTTTTGCAATGATGATCTATGAATGAAGACCTAAAAATTAGCTGGTTTGGATCGTTGAAAGAAAATTCATAGGATACCCTAAATGACATCCCTCAATTAAAATTATTTTAAGGAATCCCTCAATAGAAAAGGACTGATCAAATATATATGAACTATATGCATTACTCGTTATCTTTCAACATGATAATGAAACAAGTCATGTAGTGTATATATATACACATACTTGAATTTGAATTGAGATTTCAATTTAAATATTTGATTTTGAATGGCCTTTATGAATTTATGAATTAGGGTTTTTGAATTTTGGTTTTCAGATGTTTGAAATTGAAAAAAAAAATGTCAATTGTTTGATGCATAAGGCACAGAAGTGTGTAAAATATAGTTTTACCACGCTTAACGCCTACGATTGTACAAGATTTCTTATAAAGTCTAATTAAAAACCCTAAACTATAAACCATAAAATTGTGGAGTTATATTGTATTTAAAAATGCAATTATAAGTAATTATATACATGGGGTTAACTAATACAATATGAATGTTTCAATTACCACTTGAATGACGTTCCTTACCAAAGAAACGAGTGAAGCTCGTTCATTTAGTACCCACAAAATGTTGCGTTTGTGAGGTAAAATATCCGTTGAAATGGTAAATTACAACATGAACACAAAATTTACCATGTAAACGAGACTCCGGCGTAGCGGCCATAAATACTCTTTTACAATTTAAACGTACATTTTACTCCGCAAACGCAAATGTTGCATTTGGGAGGTAAAACATGCGTTAAAATGGTAACTTACAACGTGAACGCAAAATTTACCATGTAAACGAGACTCATGCGTTCAAGGAGTAAACACCCTCGTCTATGAGTAAAGACGGCTAGAAATGCCCTTTTACAATTTAAACGTACCTTTTACTCCGCGAATGTGTCTCTTTACTCACTGAAAGCACATGTGGGGTTTATATGGTAATCGAGGCGTTCATTTGGTAATTTACCGTTTAAATGTGGATTTTATCTTCCAAATACCATCCTTGTGGTGGTATTAAAAGAGAAAGATGAGTTTTTTAACTAGAGAAACTCAGTGTTTGCATTGCTATGAATAACCAATTTCGTGGAATTGCTATTTGCACATAGTCACTCAGTGTTTGCATTTCAAACATGCAATTACATGACCATGATGCAATTCTAGAGTGCCTGTGGCGCAATTAGAACGAACATTAACATACATATAACATGTTTTTTTTAAGAACATTCCAAAAACAACATGTTACATTTTATTTCATACACTTTAAAAGTGCAAATATAACATTAAAAGTAAAAATGAGGAAGCCATAGTTTTGTAATGGATAGAGTGAGTAAAGGGTTCAATGAATTGATCCTTTTATACATGAATGGACGATTCAGATTAGGGCTCGTCAATGGGCCGGGCCGGGCCGGGCTTTAAAGAGGAAAGAGAAAATATCGGGCCGGGCCGGGCCGGGGTTTTTTAGAGAATTCAAAGCCCAAGCCCGACCCATAGGTCGGGCTTGAGAAAGCCCATTGGGACGGGTTGGGCTAAGCCCAACGGGCCGGGCCGAAACGGGCCTACTTCATTCGAAAAAAATCATAAACTTAATCATAAGGGCATTTTAGTCTAAATTTGAGATTAAACTCACTTAATTCCAATATTTTCACATCAAACCAAATTCATAAAATACTCAATAAAGTCACACAACTTAATAAGATTTTCCACAAAAATAATAAAACAAAGTATTATTT